TTTGATAAGAGTAGAATTGTTTACACAATAAAAAATTAGTAACTCAAATCTCAGGTGGAGTTGTATGGAAATTTTTGACGTGTGAAATATTTATGAATGTAATTATCGATTAGATAAGATATTTCATCATATTACTTTGCTCATATGAATACAAATTTGCACTATTGATTTACAGATGCTTTAGCTGCAGAGTTCAATGCGAACATTTTCCAAGAGATAAACTTTTTGTGAATTGATATTTGTATGTGAGTGTATGTGTTGATGTATGTGTGTGTGTGTGTGTGTGTGTATGTATGTATATGTGCGTATGTGTGTGTGTATCTGAGTGTATGTGTATGTGTAAGTTCATTAATTTCACTCATCAATTTTTGCTTTGGTGAACTATTTTAATCTTTTTTGAACAGCAATAGTTTAATATTATCATATAGATTTTAAAGTTAGTTAATTTTTATCATTGTTTCCTTTGTTCGTGAATTTTTTGTTATGAGAAAAAAAGAAAAATGAAAATTTTATTAATGCTTTAAATCGTTTCATACCGCTATTGTAAAATAACAGACGATGGATTTTCAGATTTCTGAATTTGAAAATCCATCATCTATTATTATAAAAAAAAAAAAATTACATATCGGAATTCAATTAAATGATTATCCAAATTAATAGATTTTTCGAAAATATTCCTATTATTTATGAAATTTTAAGAAAACTAAAATTAATTCTTTTTTTTAAGAAAAAAAAAACTAAAACTGTTTGATTGCAGATTAATAAATAATTGGATCAGTGAAAAAAATTAAAGGGTAAAAAAGAAAAAAGAAGAGCATTTTCTATCAATGCTTTCTAAATTTCAAACGAACGACAAAAGAGAAGCGAAGAAATTTTCTCGTAGAGTGGTTGCTAATTTATTGATGAAGGAAATTGAATCGTAATTTTTAAAAATATTATAATTAGCAGTATCCAATTTGCAATAATAATAATATACACTTGATTATTCGTATATTTGTCAGTCATTGAAATGATGATGAAAAAAGATTAATTTTATTTTGTTTTTTTTTTTTGTTTACGAGTGAAATGTATCACATAAAATGTTTATATATTACTAATCTAATAAGAAATTCTTGGGAAGTTGTCCTATTTTGCAAATGAAATATAATAGATTGTATTTAAATCCTGAAAAGTGATAGTATGAAATGCTTTTTCATCCGTTTTCCAGAAATCCTTTTTCAATATACATTAAAAAAAGTATATTGAAATTGTTGATTGAACTTTCTAAAAATAGTTATTAAATTTTCTTCCCGTTCGATAACAGTTTTCTGCTTTAGATTGCTCAATTATTAAAAATTTCAGTATTTTTAAAAATAATTGATTGAGTAGTTATTGTTAATAATTAATAGTAATCTAGGAAAAAGGAAGTTTTCCCGAGTGCTAGAAATATTAAGGTTGAGAATTCGGTGAAGGATCAACGAAAGAAAGTAAAATGGCAAATGAATCCATTATATAGGGTTTGTATTCGATTACCCAATTACTCAATTATTATTTTTTTATTCTCATTAGTCAGAGTTATCGATAAATGCTATCAATTTCCTCATTTTATAGGCAAAATCAAGTAATACAGAAGAATCAGAATCAGAGTCTATTAATTCATTATCATCACGACAGTCATTTTTACATTCTGAACGATCCGTTGATAGCGATTATAAAAGCAATAGTGAAGAAGAAAGTGAATTTCGAGAAAATATCTTCAAAAAGGTGAAAAAAAATTTTTCCAGGAAAAAATTTCAACAAACATAAAAAAGGTTTTTCTTTTTTTTTACGGATAAAAAAAAATTTCTGGAATAATATAGGTGGAACCTATTATGCAATATTTGACATGTCACATTTCAAATGCAATCATTACTTTTTCCTTAATTCCAACATCCTCTTAGCATAATAAAAATTTAAAAAAAATTTACAAAATTTATTTTTTTAAATTTGTTCTTCCTTAATTCCAGTATTCTTTTGGCATATTAAAAATAGAAACAAATTCAGCTTTAAATTTATCTTTCCTTAACTCTAAACCTCAAAAAAAAAATTGGTACCATTCTACCAAAAAGTTTGGCAATAATTTTTTTCCCACGAAAATATTTTCCCATTTATAAAAGTTATTATTATTAATGTTCATTGTTATATCCGAAATTAGCAGGTAAATTTCCGTGAAATCGCTACGGAAATGTTCGATACGATGAATGCATTGGGAGTTGGAACGGAAGAAAATTCACCGATGAAAAAAGCTCTCGAAGAACGAAAACATGAATTGGAGTTTAATATAGGAAATTATAATAGGACTTATTAAATTTCTTCCAATTTTTACCATATATTTATTTCATTTAGAAGATTGCACCATTTTAAATTAACTTTTTGATCAAATTCTTTTATAAAATATTCTCTTGCCAAAAGTTATCCCCACAATCGAAGAAAATAAATCAGAAATTGAATTTGCGAGAATTTTTCAATTCACAGATTAAATTGTTTATTTGTATTGCTTTCCACTGCCATTACGTATTATTTGATGGTACAAATCTTTTCTTTTTTTTTTGGAATAGATTTTTAAGTTCGATATGTAAAGCAGCAAGAAAGGAAATAATTAATTCATGTACAAAATACACAAAAGCGAAGATTTAAAACAAAAAAATTAAATGAGAAAATAAAATGCGGAAACATTAAAGAAGAGCAGATAAAATAAAACTGTGCCATTAAAATTAGAGAAAATGAAAGAGAGAGGGAATTTTATGGACATGAATCGAAGCGTTTTGAAAGTACAACAGAAAGAATGAGACATGTAG